AAAAAGCAGTGCTTGACCAGCAGAACTCAAAGCTCTGCAGATGCAGGGGTTCCTGATCCCCAAGGGCTCAGGGGTATTACAGAGCAGGCACATTCTTCAGTGATGTATCTGAAACCTGGCATGACATCAGTAGCGTAGCTAGGGGAGGTGCAGGGGAAGCAGCTGCTTCCCCTTAGCACATTTTCCAAAAGCGGTGCCTTAGTTAGGAGTTACCATGGCGCCAGCGGGCAGGGCCCACACTCCGTTCTGAAGCTTGGTCTGCCGGGCCGCTGCTGGGCTCCTGCAGGCAATGGGGGGCAGCACGGCCGGAAGAGCCATTGGGGGCGGGGGAGGGGCAGGCACAGCCAGAGGATCGAGGGGGGCGCTCCTCGGCCACCGTGCCCCACGCTCAGAGCGGCCCCAACATCATCATGGCCGCCTGCGGCAGCTCAGGGCTCAGCGGCCAAGCGCTCCCTGCCCCTTGCTAATGTGGCAGCAGCAGCATCTCCCGGCAGCGGCTCACGGCCCATTATACAGGCAGAGGGGCAGGGTAGGGACCGACCGTCCGCTCCCTGCTCACGTCACGTCCGAGATTCCAGCCCACTGTGTGCAGGGATTGCCCCGGGGCAAGGGTGCAAAGCAGTTACAGCGCGGCCCCGCCCTTCGGGCCGCCACCGTGACCCCATCCCCCTGCATCACACCCCTCCCCGCCTGTTTGCTTGGCCCCGCACCCCTGCGCAGACCCTCTAGCTACTGGTTACATTCCAACTGCCTGGAGCTTCCCGTGCGCCTCTCCCCTCCCCCTCCCGCAGCAGCCGCCCGGTGCGGTGTCATGGCTTTCTCCGAGGTCACTCAGCAGCTGGTGAGTCCTGCCCGGGGGCACGTGAAACTTTCTCGCCTCTTCTCTCCTCTCCCCCCCCACCCCGACTGCACCCTGAAAACTTCCTCAGCTGGGCCGGGCTGTGCCCAGCCCCCTCCCCCCGGACCGAGCTCCTCCGAAGGGGGAGGGGGCACAGCATAGCTGCAGCAGTGTGGCCGGAGGAGCCCCTCCGAAGGGGGGGGGGGGGAGGGAGGGATAGTGCGGCCGAAGGAGCCAGCCAAGGGAGGGGGGCATGGAGTGGCCAGAGGAGGAGCCAAGGGGGGCGTGGCCAGAGGAGGAGCCAAGGGAGGGCGCCTTTTTTATGTTTTCTCCCCCTGCACTTAGAACCTGGCTACGCCACTGCATGACATGAGTAATTAACATATGGAGGGAGGCCTCACTTCTTGGAGGATAAAATTAGAGAAGCAAACAGATCATTACGCTGAAGTAAACAGGTCAGTAGGCTAAAAAGACAATGTCTGGGCCAGTTACAAAAAGAGGGAGAACAGCCACTAAACCATTTACTAACAATGGACAAGATAAGTTAGGACTGTAAAAAGAGGAGGATAAAAGTGCACAATGCATGGTCAGGGCAGGCTGCAGAAGGACTGGTTCTTGCAAAATAACCAATCCAATACAAAAATGTATGATGCAATGTATAGTCAATGTAACGTGTAAATATATATAAATGAAGAGGTTTTTGTGTAACTTTGGATGTGTGATATGCCCTATACCCACGGCCCCTACCCTTGAGTCTGATCAACTCTACATAGGTTTGCTGTATGCCAAGTAAAGGAACTTGAATGATGAAATATGGAGTCAAACGATGTTTTTGGATTCCAGAGAACTGAACGAGGTGTTCACCCACAACGGGACAAATTGTTCTGGATAAGTAGGGCCTTTCATTTTTGGCTTTTATTGTATTTAATTTTGCCTGGGAATCCATGAAATGAATCTGCCATGGGCAATGATTTGAATATTTTGAAAAATTAGCTTAAATGCCCTGTATTACTATAACAACAAAAACAGGTGAAAATTGGTGGAAAAAGCTATTAATTTTTCTGGGTAAATACTGGGGTTTATTTTGATGGATGGAAGGACAGGGGGGAAAAGTATTCAGTAGATTAATGCTTTGATGAATGGAATTTGCTGCAGAACTAAAACAGAACTCAAAACATATTGAGTTTAACAAAACAATACATCTCTAAACCCAAAATAAAACTTTTTATTTGAATAAAGTTTACTGTTTAGACTTAGAACTATTAGCCTATAAATATTTTTTATATTTAATAACTGGGCCACGCCATTTGCAGCGACACACTTAACTTCATCCTTTTCTCCTGTTTTTGTTTTTTTTGCCAACTTTTGAATACTTCCTTGTGTTCTGAAATGTATTCTGATACAGATTTTCATTTTCTTCCCATTTTAGAGGGAGATCTTTAAACCGTTATCTGCTAACAGCTTTAAATATGTACGTGGTGGGTGTGAGATTCATCAGTACGTTCAGATGCGCACGCACTTCAGAGCTTATGTGCATGCCTACTGTTTGTATCCTCTAAACCAGAGGTTCTCTTACTGTGGTCCGCAAGCTCCATTCAGGTGGTCCACCGATAGTTCCCTCTAAGGTGCAAGCCTGGGCGGCCACACACAAGAGAATGAAGGGCCACCCACTTAATTTAGTGGAGCTATGCCTGTGTGGCTCCACTAATTAAGTGCCTGGACCTGGAGAAGACACACATGTAAGGTGAGCTGGTGGCTTTGGGGGGAATAAGGGGTAGGTGGGAGGGGCAGTAGGGTGAGAAGAGGGGGTGGGTGGAATTTGGGACATGCATGGCTGTGGCAGCCAGAGAAAGCAGAGACTGCCCTCCTTCTCAGCCTCAACTCTGTGGCGTGGGAGAGACCCCCCCTCCTTCCCAGCCCCAGTTCTGGGGCTGCCAGAGTGGGGGAGAGAGGGAGAGACCCTTCTCCTTCCCAGCCCCAGCTTGGGGGCTGCCACAGCCGGGGAGAGAGGGCACATCCATTGCATTAGAAAGGTAAGACTACTGATATTAAAATATGAATGTGCGCTTTTATTTGTAGAACAAAAAAACATTAATTATTATTAAGGTGGATTTTTTTTAATATAATGTTTTTATCCAAAGCGGTTTACAATAGTTAGCTAATGGCACAAACAACATTTGGAAAGATCATTAAGTGGTCCACCCAGACACTCAGCTCGTGGTCCCTGGAAAAAAACGTTTGAGAACCATTGTTCTAGACCAGGGGTTCCCAAACTTGGTTCGCGGCTTGTCCAGGGTAAGCCCCTGACGGGCCCGCGAGATGCTTTGTTTACCTGAGCTGCGGAGGCCAGGCCCCCCGCTCCCCGCAGCTCCCATTGTCTGGGAACGGCGAACCACGGCCACTGGGAGCTGCGATTGTTTACCTGAGCGTCTGCAGGTACAGCTAAGTGTCTTGCGGCCCGCCAGGGGCTTACCCTGAACAAGCCGCGAACCAAGTTTGGGAACCCCTGGTCTAGACTAATACATAGCCTTACTTCAACTGGCAGCTTTGCATATACACAGAGACTAACGTATTATCATAATACATATATCCCATGCAATGTATTGTATTTTCCTAATAAAACAAGTTATTTTTATTTGAATGATACAAAAGTAGGGTAAAAATCGGAAATAACTGAATAATACTTTTTGTAAAACCTGGGATTTTTTCGGTAAAATTTGGTTTAAACTGAAAACGAAGGAGCTTATGAATAAGCCAATTGGAAAAGGTCTCAGAGGGAATCCCAACAAATGATGCATGTCTTATGGTATGCAAAAAGATTCATAAAACAGAAGTACCCCTTCTTCTCCTCTGTACCAGAGTGCAAAGCAAGTGCTTTAGGAGATGACAGGAAGGGAGCCTTGTTGCTATGGACCTCCACTTGGGCATACCTAAGATGTGTACGAAAAAGCCTAGTACTTTCCAGCATCAGCTGACACAAAATTTTCTGTACAGACTTATATGGGTACTGTGCATGCCAACTGGTTTTAAATTTACAAGGCTGCTTATATTTCTTTTGAGAAAATAAAAAAAATTCCCCACATAAAAACTGTTCAGTTAAATTTACTAAATATACTATTACTCACAGAGTTCATACATGTGGTTAAGGACAATATAAACATGTGGCAATTCACTTTACAGATTGCAGCCACCTTAACTCAAAACCAAAAGAAATACTTATGAATTATTTCAACAGTGTTGAAAGCCTTTGTAATTAAGTATATAGTTAGCGATGCAGATGTTGAAAGAATCTGCATGTTGTGATTCTGAGTTAAGGTAGCACATGGAAGGTGTACAGTCAGCAGACATAATCACTAAAAGGATAATAGAACATTTATGTAAAGTATTATTTAATACTCTCCTACTACAAGGATCCTTACAGGTATTTTGTCTACAAGTAATAATATGGATTGAAGAAATCTTAACTTAACAAATTAACAAAATATGATCTAATATGATCTATTAGAGGATTGGCACATCTTGCTTCTGGAGGCAGAACTCATTGCCACACTGCTTGAATTCCTCAATTCCCCCCCACAAGCTCCCAGGGCCACCCTCCCACCTCCCTCCATTTTAGGAACTCCATGCAGAAACCCCTCCTTCACGCCAGGGGCTCTGTGTGCCCCCTTTCCTTCCTAACTAGGGTCCCCCATTTTCTCCCTGTACCACATGTCTTAGTGCCCCCCTATCTACCACCTGTCTCTGTGCCCCTCTCATGTTCTCCCTACACAATTATTTATTTTTTTCTGTCTGGGAGATAAGTCATTCAGGGCAACCACATTTTAAACTCTATTGAATCAATGGGCAGAGCTCAGATGGGAGGTACTATGCTGGAAGGTATTAATGGCTACCATCAACTGGTTCTTTGATCTATAGACCACTACAGATCTCACTGAAGCTGACAGGTCTCTAACCACATGCCAGAGGCCTCTGTGTGTCCTCCACTGATTTTTCAATTTTCATCAAAACCCATAGGGTCCCACTGATGACTAGAACATTCTCTAGAAGTCTGGAGTTGACTGGAGGCAGTGTTCAAAAGTTATCATTTACTAACAGAGACAGGCCATCAAGTTGAGCATAAGGCTTAGCTTTGCTCAGCCACATAGGCTGGCCACGGACTTACCATAGTATGTACTTGCTGTCATGGACACAATCCAGAAAGATAAGGAAATACAAATAAGCAGGCTCAAAATGACAATATTTGTCATCATTTTGATAGATTCTTTGTAGTCCTCCTGCTGGTATGACATGAGAATTCAGAGGACAATTACCTATGGGAAGGAAAGAGCAAAAAGGATCAGACAAACGATTTCAATTAAAGAGGCATTTTTGTTAAAAACAAAGTTTAATGCAGAGGCTGTGGCTTGGGCCCTAGCGTTGGAGACCATTCCTCAGATCATTGCTAAGTTAAAGACAACTACACACCCACCTGGCAACGCCCCGCCCCACAACAGGGGAGCATCTCGAAACTAACCCAGCAAGAGGGAGCCTCTCCCAGCGCGCACAGGCAAGAGGCACCAAGTCCATGTCACCACCCGTAAGAAAAGAGGGAGAGTCAGAAAAGGCAGAGCAAGTTTGTGATCCCCCCGCCCATGGGAGCGTGTCGGGTCTGCGAGCCCTTCTCCGCACGATGGGGGGTCGGGGTGTGTGGGGGTCGGATCTGCGGGCCTTTCCCCACACGTGAGCTGTTGGGGGGGGGGGCGAGCCTGCGGGCCCTTCCCCCACAAGGTGGCGGCCCGGCTGTAGCGGCGCCGGGGAGGGGGGGCCCGTAACCTCACCCTCTGCCACGCACGGCGGGCTCGCTGTCCTGCCCCGGCCGCTGGGCGAGCCTCATGCTCGGCCCCCGCGCGGTCGGGCACCGGCAGCGCCAGAGCGACCCCGGCTCCGCGCAGCCTCAGGGCTCCGGCCGCCACCGAGCCGCGCATGCTCTGTCGACTGCAATTCCTGCGCTTCCTGCCCATCCGCCTCTGCTCAGGGAAACACCCTCCGCCAGAGGCGCAGCACCGTGACCGCGGGCACTGAGCCCCCTCCCCCCACCGAGCCCGTGACAGCGGGGACTGGCCCTTCCCCTCTGACTCCGGGCCCCCCATGCCTGTGACAGCGGGTTCTGACCCCGCCCAGAGTCTCACCAAGTACGTCTCCCCCGTCCCCACACCTGTGACAGCAGAGACTAATCCCCCCTCAGAGCCCGCGCCCCATGCGTGACAGTGGAGACTGATCTGCCCACCGAGCCTAGCCCCCCACCCATGACAGTGGGGAGTAACCCACCCCCGCACATTGAGCCCATGATCTCCATGACTGTGGAATTGAACCTCCCCCTCAACCAACCTCATTCCTGCCCACCCTCGTGGCAGTGGGGACTGAGACCCGCACCGAGCCCATGCCCTCCACACCCGCCAGTGACAGAGGCAACTGCCCCCCATGAGCCTAGGCCCCCTTAATCTCTGTGACAGCAGGACCAACCTCCCCCACAGAGCCCATGCCATCCTGACAGCAGGGACCGTCACCCCCACACACCCACCAAGCCTGGGCACCCCACCCCTGTGATAGCAAGATCTGATTCCCCCCAACCTCAAAGTAACAGTGGGGACTTCCCACCCATGGAAACTGTTCCCCCCCAAACTTACACACACACCACCCTCTCCCATCAGTTACAGCTTGGGCTCCAGCCCCATCCCCTTCTTGAAATTAGAACTGAGACCTGGGGCTGTTTCACCCCTCTACAGCATGGAACCCATGACCTCTTCCCCCCTCTCTTCAACTAAGCATCAAGTCTGTGCCTCCATCAGTCCCTTCAGTGAGAGCTAAGGTTGTGCTCCCCTCTCTTGCACTGACTATATGCTTTCCCATCGCCTCAGTAACAACTGGGGTTGGGTCCCCACATCCCCTCTATGAAGGTGATACCTGGGGCTGTCTCTCCCACCCCACACTGAGCATTGAGTATTTACCTTTCCCAATACTTCAGTGAGAACCAGGACTACGCGTCCCACTCCTTGCAATGAGTCTGTACTCCGTACTGTCTCCTCAATGAGATCTCCATCCACCCTCAGACCTGGGTTGTGTGCCTCATCCTTTGCAATGAATATTGATTCTATGCCCAACCCCTGCTTCACTCACTAAGCACCAAGTCTGTGACACCGCCTGCTTTATGCACTCCCATTCAGTCAGTTCTGGGGCTGGTCAGTACTGGCTGTACAATTTGAAGCCAAGGATCTCTAGAATTCCATACACGATTTATATTATGGAACAATAAAAAATTAATAGGTAACAATCTCACTTACCAATTCACAGAACAACAATGACAGGATGATGGCATCAATGTAAGGATTCGAGCATGAAATCATGGGGGTAGTAGTGATATCTCCAAATGCCCTGAATGAGATTTTAAACTTGTTCAAACACAGCAAAATCCTATAGCGTCAGAGGGAAAGACTTTCACACCGCCTTACAATTATCTTCAGATGAGTGCAGACCAACCCAGTCTGGCAACTTTTCTGAGTACATGCCAGAATTGTTTAGAGAGTGCCAGATGATCAGCAAAGAAGCCAATAAGAGTTATTAAGAGAGGTGCTTTGTGACCACACATATTGCATGGGCGGGGACCTGGCTATGAGTGCATCTGACTCCAAGTATCAGAAACTTTGTACATCCACAAAGCAAAGAAAGGTATGAAATTCCAGAACCTTCTGTATATTCTCCTTCCCCTTTGGGGCAGATAGCCATCAAATGTACAAGATTTTTGGGATCATTCTACAATCTACATAATTCTGAAGTATCATTCACAGATTCTACATTGTTATATACACAGCCGATATAATAAAAGGCCTATATCCCACAAATACTTATACAGCTGAGTAACTATAAGCAAACAAAAACAAGGAGGGGTCCTTGTGGCACCTTAGAGACTAACACATTTATTTGGGCATAAGCTTTTGTGGGCTAAAACCCACTTCATCAGATGCATAGAGTGAAAAAAACAGTAAGCAGAATATATATTATAGCACATGAAAAGATGGGAGTTGCCTTACCAAGCGGGGGGGGGGGGGGGTTCAGTGTTAACGAGCCAATACAATTAAGGTGGAAGTGGCCTATTCTCAACAGTTGACAAGAAGGTTTGAGTATCAGCAGAGGGAAAATTACTTTTTGTAGTGACCTATCCACTCCCAGTCTTTATTCAGGCCTAATTTGATGGTGTTCAGTTTGCAAATTAATTCTAGTTCTGCGGTTTCTCGTTGGAGTCTGTTTTTGAAGTTTTTTTGTTGAAGAATTGCCACTTTTAAGTCTGTTATTGAGTGTCTAGGGAGACTGAAGTGTTCTACTGGGTTTTGAATGTTACAATTCTTGATGTCTGATTTGTGTCCATTTATTCTTTTGCGTAGAGACTGTCCGGTTTGGTCAATGTACATGGCAGAGGGGCATTCCTGGCACATGATGGCATATATCACATTGGTAGATGTGCAGGTGAACAAGCCCCTGATGGTGTGGCTGATGTGGTTAGGTCCTATGATGGTGTCCCTTGAATAGATATGTGGACAGAGTTGGCAACAGCCATGTTTACATTTTTGTTACCTTCTGGTGACTTAGAAGGGATGGAAATTGTTTAAAAATCTTAGTTTTGGAATTAAAATTTGGAAGTTTTATGTAATAGTTTATCATTTCCCTGAAAAACTACACCATTTAAAACATTTTTAGCTTGAACAAGCTGGCAGGTGTCATCTATTGAGTCTTCAGTGCATGTTACATCAAGTTTCATTCAGCATCTGCTGCAGTTTTTAAACAGTACTTACATACACAGCTAAGATTGGGGATCCTCTGGCAATAGTTGCAAGAGCTCAGAGGTTCTTTTGTTGTTGTGGAGATGGAGGAATAATTCAATGGCTGCTTGCAAGGTTTTCTATTTTGTCTACATTAGGGGTCTGATCCTGCAAATATTTATATGCATGCTTAATTTAATTAAAGTCTATAGTACTACTCTTGTGCTTAAAGGTAAGCACCTGCATAAGTGTTTACAGCATACAGGCTCTGGTAATTTTAGTAAAAAAATTACCACTGATGCCACCATTAGGTCAAGTGTTTCAGACAAGACTCTGGTGACTTTCAGCCTATTTACAACCCTATTTTGTGGTTATAAAAGCCAGCAGCTATTGGAATCTTCTCTGCACTCCAACTCCCACAAATGCTAACACTGGTGTAGCTGAACTGGTTGCAGTGTTGGTGTCTCCTTCCCCCCAAAAAAATCCCTTGTGTAAACATGGCCTTATTTGCAAGCAGTCTGAAATAATCAAACAGCTAACATGATTGTTTTGTTTTTATCAGTTTAACCCTACAAACAAGGCAATTGTTTAAGGACCACACTAAAGTAACAATGCTAGAGTGCACACATACAAATACTTAACAGAATCTAAATTACCTAACTTTTAAAACTCGCCATAATTCACCACCAGATGTCAGGGTAGAGCTCATCCTGACTCTCCTTAGGCCTGGTCTACACTACGAGTTTAGGTCGACTTTAGCAGTGTTAAATCGAATTAAGCCTGGACACGTTCACACGACGAAGCCCTTTCTTTCGACTTAAAGGGCCCTTTAAACCGGTTTCTTTACTCCACCTCCGACGAGGAGATTAGCGATAAAATCGGCCTTAGCGGGTCGGAATTGGGGTAGTGTGGACGGAATTCGACGTTATTGGCCTCCGGGAGCTATCCCACAGTGCTTCATTGTGACGCTCTGGACAGCACTCTAAACTCAGATGCACTGACCGGGTAGACAGGAAAAGCCCCGTGAAGGTTTGAATTTCATTTCCTGTTTGCCCAGCGTGGAGAGCACAGGTGACCACGCAGAGCTCATCAGCACAGGTAACCGTGATGGAGTCCCAGGATCGCAAAAGAGCTCCATCATGGACCCGAACGGGAGGTACGGGATCTGCTCGCCATATGGGGAGATGAATCAGTGCTAGCTGAACTCCGTAGCAGTAAACGAAATGGCAAAATATTAGAAAAGGTCTCCAAGGCCATGAAGGACAGAGGCCATAACAGGGACGCACAGCAGTGCCGCGTGAAAATTAAGGAGCTAAGGCAAGCCTACCACAAAGCCAGAGAGGCAAACGGAAGGTCCGGGGCACAGACGCAAACATGCTGCTTCTACGCAGAGCTGCATGTCATGCTAGAGGGTGCAGCCACCACTACCCCAACCGTGTGCTATGACTCCGTCACTGGAGAAACACACAGGGAAGCGGGTTCGGGGTACGAGGAAGATGAGGATGAAGATAATGTAGGTAGCTCACAGCAGCAAGTAAGCGGAGAAACCAGTTTCTCCAACAGCCAGGATATGTTTATCACCCTGGACCTGGAGCCAGTAACCCCCAAACTCACCCAAGGCGTGCTCCCAGACCCTGAGGGCACACAGGGGACCTCTGGTGAGTGTACCTTTGTAAATATTACACATGGTTTAAAAGCAAGCGTGTTTAATGATTAATGATTAATTTGCTCTGGCAATCGCGGCCAGTACAGCTACTGCAAAAGTCTGTTAATGTGTATGGGGATGGAACGGAAATCCTCCAGGGACATCTCCAGAAAGCTTTCCTTCATGTACTCCCAAAGCCTTTGTAAAAGATTTCTGGGGAGGGCTGCCTTATCCCGTCCGCCATGGTAGGACACTTTACCACGCCAGGTCAGTAGCACGTAGTCTGGAATCATTGCATAACAAAGCATGGCAGCGTATGGTCCCGGTGTTTGCTGGCATGCAGACAGCATCCATTCCTTATCGCTCTTTGTTATCCTCAGGAGAGTGATATCATTCACGGTCACCTGGTTGAAATGGGGCGATTTTATTAAGGGGACATTCAGAGGTGCCCCTTCCTGCTCTGCTGAACAGAAATGTTCCCCGCTGTTAGCCACGCGGTGCGGGGGAGGGGTGAAGTGATCATCCCAGAGAATTGGGTGTGTG